GTCACTCCACTAATGACCTCCCTCCAAGTTAACCCTTTGCCATAAGTCAGGGTTCACTGGGTAGGATTGTTCAGCCAGCTCCAGGTCCACTGAGCAGCAAGGGAATTGTATGGGTATCCATCATATTCTTTACTTAAATCACAATATATGATGTCTATGGCAATCTGTTCCCTTTATCTTGCACCTAAAGTAGAGGGGTGCTCAGCTAATACTGGCTACGTTGAAGCTAAAGAAAATTATTAGAGAGTGACAAAAGAAATCCCCCAGTGGATTATTTCTGAGATCCACTCCTTTCTTTTATTTACAATGTGGGGCAACATTGCCCCTATCCAGTCTTTGGGTACTCTTCTGTTTCCTGAAAACTGCCTATATTCTAGTTCTTTCTGAAGCCTTATGAGACTTGATTCTATCTTCTCTCCCATAGGAATGATACTGACCCTTCCTATGTCACAGAGCAGTATAGGGGTCCAGAAGAAAGGCTGGGCACAACAAAATAGTCACTTAGGCTGCCTGCATAGGGGCTGTGTGGATCTTTGGAAGAATAGTTATAGCATAGTCACATCCTGCAGCTCCCAAAGTAAATGTCACACATGGGACCAGACACCATATATGATCAGGGAGACATCCCATGGGGAGGAACCTCTCATCATGGTGCTGCTGTTTCAAGGTTAAAAAAAAAAAAAAGGAAGCTGGGCTGGGGTGCAACAGAGGTTTGGTCTCAGGTTTTGTTCTTTCTCCTTCTTTGTCAACTTCCCTTTTTCTCTGAGTCAGTGCTTTAGAATCACTAAAATGGCATTAGCTTCTCAGGAAGCTACCCTATGGTAGCTCATGAGGACAGAAGCTAAGAACTCAGGAGAACAGCCTAATGCCCGCATCACCAGCCTCATCCACCCTCTGTCTCCCGTGAGGTGTCTGGACTTGGATGGGGCTGCACAGAAAACACACCCATAAAGAAAGTGGGGAAAGAAACATTCTACTCCTCTCCTAAACTAATAGGAATCCCCTCCAAACTCAATTGTGCAATGAATGCAAGAATGAACTCAAACAACCCACCCCCTGCCTGCCGGTGGTGATCATCCCTCTGGAATTCTTACTAAACTTAACGTCTTGGGACATATATATATATATATATATATATATATATATATAGCAATTATTTTGTTACCTACAATTTTTTGTCCTCTCTCTTCTAAGGTGAACCAAAGAGGGTACGGAAGGTTTACAGACATTGATTAAATATGTTTGCAAAGATTTAGACATGAGGGTATTTACTGATGCTACTATAACAGAAAACTGGAAAAATATAAATGCCTGACAACAGAGGATTGTTCAAATACATTATGGTACATCCATCCACTAGACTGCTATACAGATATTAAAAATCAGGTTGCCAAAGAGTAAATGAAATGATGTTAACAACATAAAGGTAAAAGAAAAAAAGCAAGTTACAATGGCAGAATATTGTACATACAAAGAGGATAATTTTTCTAAGGATATGTTAACAATGATTACAACTAGTGGAATTATGAATAGATTTCTTTATTTTCCTCTTTTTTGCTTATGTGCTTTTTCCAATTTTTTTAACAGTAACGTGCATTGCTTTTGAAATACGGAGTGGGGCATAATAAAAGCTTGTTTTTGCTAGCAAAATAGAAGTAGGAAAACCCCCTCTTTCAAGGCACCCTGGAAGTTGAATGAAGCCAGTTTACAGCCTGCTCTCCAGATTATCTATAATCCCATGGAAGCTACCTTGAATCCAGGCAGAAGCTTCCTTAAAATCAGTGTCTAACTTGAGATGAGTTATTAAAAATGGTACTCCCCTGCCAAACCCTAGGGCTGTGGGCCACTCAGCCCAGAGAAAAAGGCAGTGGCAGAGCCCCTTGGCTTTCAAAGCACAGCAGCAGCCCTAGCGTGAGAGGAATCTCCCTCCCTCATGCTTCTGCTGAAGGTTTGCAGACAGCTCCCTTTCCATCCCACAAGAGGAGACAGGCAGATGAGTCACTGCACTGGCTCGGATTAAAGGAGTATTATTGTGTGAGCAGAAATGGATCTATTTTATTATCTGTTTCTTGACACCTTACAGATAGATATGCTTTTCCCACAAGACAGGCAATTTCCTTTGAAAGCCAATGATTTTGTTTGCTGAAGTTAAGAAATGACCAATGAGAATTACAAACTTGTGCATCTGAAGAGTTGCCAGGCTGAAAAGATGTAGTGGAAACACTGAGGGAGGTGGTTTATAACTCTCAGACTCTAGGTTTTCAAATTTGCAAAGTGATGCCACTCTTCTAAAAATATACAGAGGAACTGCAGAAACCCATTCCCCTTTTCACTTTCCTAAGAGGTTCCCCACACACACACTTTAAGAAAAATACCAGAATTGGTTTACAAAGGGAGATTCACCACTTCAGAGATTTCACTGTTTTTCGTAGGGATGATGGTCAGGGGATGCTATTTTAAGGACTTCCTTCTCTAACACAGATTTTTCCATTCTGAGAGGACAGATAAGGTATGTTCTACTAATGCTCCTCATTAAATTCACATGCATGCCAACAGTCATTTCCCTTTGTCTTCTTGTCCCATGACAACAGATTGCATATCATAGGAAATTGGAACGGAGACATTATTTGGTTTGGATCTCTCTTTTCCATTGTTTAATTCCACACTCAATCTTTCATTCTATGCCTGCCTCCTTTTGCAGAAATATACTACAAGTGAACATAGGAACAGCTAAATGAATAGGTATTGTTATTTTAAGTCTGATTTCATAGACTTTTTTAGGATGCTTTGACCAGTGCTTCCTCCTCCCCACCCACAAGCACTTATCTCTGGGCCAAAATGTACTGGTATTCCATAAAGACCTGATGACTGATGGGCTCATATGTGTTGTCAATGTGCATTCCCTTTTCTTGTCTACTGCTATCACATTCCAGTACAGGAGCATCCCTGTTTAAATTACTGCTGTTATACTTTATACATAGATGTGTCTGTGCAGCCCTTACTCTGTACCACCTGTCCACTGAAAACACACAAACAAAAACCAAAAACAACAACAACAAAACTCCCGCCAAGTGCAAGGAATGAAGTTCTAAGGCAAAAGAGAAAGTCTGACATTCCTGAACCTTGACACAGCCTTTTCAATCCAATGAATGCTGTTCCGTGAAGCTGTCACTGTTGCTTTACCTTAAGATAGAAAAGCTCTTACAGCAAACTTTTAAAACCATCCTAGCTGTTTGTTTTCTGAGTATTAACTTGCTTCTAAATTTTGCTATTACGTTTTTCTTTTCATTTTAGAAAGTGGTTTTAATACATTTTCTTGTTCCAAACAGGATCGATCAGATCAAAGAATGAAAGTTCTTTCTTCTTATCGAATATTAACTGTGTGCCAGGCATTAGGTAATAGCTTCCACACTCATTATTTAATTTACTCTTTTACAATCTCTCTATGAAGGAGATGCCAACACATGAGGAAAGAGAGAAGTGGGCCATTTGTTCTAGAGCATGCATCAAGTGTGGGGGCTCTTTTGACCATTTCGTCAACCTTCATCCAACTTGTATTACTAAGTCCATGAATTTGGTCATCCAGAAAATTTTTTCTTAGAACTCAAAGCAAAGTGTTATTTGCACTTGGTAAAGCTAGACCTTCACTTAATTAGGAGGGTAGCCCCAGCTAACCCAGAAGCCAAAACTCACTTGTTAAGTGACACTAGACCACAGCAGTTAGAAAGAGGTGGCCACATCAGAGAGTTACAACTTCAAGTCTCAGCTTACCCACTTTTTGGATATGAGATCACAGGGAAGTTATTTAAGACTCGGTTTCCACATCTGTAGAAATAGGTTAAATTCTACAAAATTGCCAACTTTCAATCATGTTTTTTTAACCTTCAAAAAGAATTTTCAAATGGTTCTACTTAAATTCATCACTGGTTCCTTATACAGATGAAATCAATGAGCACAGGAAACACTGTAAATGGAACCATTTAATGGACCCTGTATTACTGATTTCTTTTTACTCGGATCAATAGTTTGCAATTTCTTAACACTTTACATATATACACTTTATATATATAAGCTAGCGTGAAGTTGTGTAAATGTTGGAGCCTGTAAATTAGGGAGACAATAAAAATGCATGGATAATCAAGAATTAACAACTAAGGCCTCCCTGCTCTGTGCATTTCTCTCCTACTTTAGTCTCTTAATTAGTACATAAATTTACAAATGCTTTTCTTTCTTCCTTTTTTTTTTTGTTTTTTGAAAGTGGAAGGAGAACATTGAGGAAGTTTTTTACATTGTTTAATCCCATCAACAAAATAAAGGTGTAAAATCAATTCTTGCCTCTCAATTTGGGAATACGAAGTGGTGGGGCAGCTTGATTGGCAGAATACGAAGTGGTGGGGCAGCTTGATTGGCAGAGCAGATCGTACCTTCCAGGCTAGGCAGTGCCTGGCCTCACCCAGCCATCAGAACCAGCTCCACAAGGACTTGCCTCACCTGTCCCGCCCAAGAACAGTTCGAGTTACCAATACTGGCCGTGTGTTGTTCCCTTCCTCGCTAGGTGCCAGGCCCTGTGCTTGGTCCCTCACATGAATTATTGTATTCACTCCCCCACGACATTCCTACGAGAAGGAAACTGCCATCCCTCTCCCCCTTTTCCCATCTTCCGAGTGAGAAAACAGACCCACACAGGTCTCGTCCAAGGACTCTGAACGGTGGACTCGGACTCGAACCCGGCCAGTCCCAGAACTCTGAAAACACCGAACCTCTTAAAAGCGGGTAGAGGCACTTTTTCACTTAAGAATCCTGCAAACTTGGCCACACCCAAGGAAAGGGTCTCTGCATCGCTGACCCGCACAACCTTGGGTTCCCGGCTTTCGGCGCTGGGCACCGAGGGTGGGGGAGGGAAGCGGGGTATTTAACCCCAGCCGGGAGCCCGCGGGGCGCCGGACGCTCCTCGGCGCTCGCGCCGCCTCTGCCTCCTCCCCACTCTCTCGGCGCGCCCCACCCTCCGCCCCGCGCTCGCCTAACGCAGGCACCGGCCGGCGGGCGCGGGGAGCGGGACACCGCTGGCGCTCGCCTCAGCGGAGCCGCCCCCTGGCCGCAGCCGCCGGCCACGCACTGCCCAACCCGCACCACCCGGACTCCAGCCACCCTGCTGCCCGCATCCAGTGCGCCGCGGCAGCCCGAGCCGGGACGCCGGCCCCAGCGCCCCGCAGACGGGCAGGCGACGGTGGACGTCCGGCCAACAGCCTGAAGCATGGATTCGGATTCCGGGGAACAGAGCGAGGGGGAGCCCGTGACCGCCGCAGGTACTGAGGGACCGCGACAACCCGGCTGGGAGGACTGGGACTGGAGAGGAGCAGAGACTGGGGCAGAAAATCTGGAGTGTTTCTCGGAGCTGCGGGACGGGAGGCCGATCCCTGTAGCCCGATCCCTTGCAGGCCAGGGCTGGGGATTGCTCGGCGCTTTGAGTTTGCTTTGGGCTTCCTCCCACCATCCCGTTGCACTTGGGCAGGCTGGAGGGAGAGGAGGTGCATTTGCCGATGGCTTTCAGTGCTGTGGGTCTCCCGCGGCGGGCTAGGGTCGCCCGGGCTGGGTGGGGGCGGGGAAGGGGTTGGGAAATCCGAGTCCTGTAGTTTGCTGCAGAGAGGGTTGCGAGACATCTGCCTTCTGAAATAACTTTCCAAGCGTCGGCCGGGTGCTCAAACCCGAGATGCCGGAGCCACGCAGCAGAGCAGATGACCGGGTCCCAGGGCGTGACAGGGGACACTGGAAAGAAAAGACCCCACGAGCGAACCGGCAGGAGTCAAGCCTCAGCTGGTGGCTGCGGTTCCCGAGGCTGATAAGCAACCCAGTGCAGAAGAGCTTGCGGTCCCTGCCGTGCAGCTGGCAAAGGAAGTACCCGAGGAGGGGTCCCCGAAAACAGACGCGGGGGCGCACTGGAACCGGGCGTTGCCTCTTAGAAGCGCCGCCGGCTTTTCACAATCGATAGTTATCGAAGCAATGGGAGGATGCTTACTTAGGAGAAAAAAATGAATGTCCTCCCCCGCCTCTCCCTGATACTGAGCAACAGGAGGAAGCCACCCACAACCGTGGGTCGACTTACCGCAGATTCTGCCCACCTCCACCAGCCCGCCCCGCCCCCCGCCCACAGGTCCAGGCACCTGGGACCCGCTTGCCCTCCTTCAGCGCCCCCAGCTCCCGTTGACCTATGCGTCACTGAAAGTTAGCCCTGTGCCTGTAGGCTGGGACCCTCCTGGTACAGAATGAGGTCTGGGTCCGATTCCCACTTTCCCCAGTGTTACACCTGAGTGCCAAGGGTGGGGACCAAATGACCTGAGGCACCTTCCGACCTGGAGTGGGTACAGAAAGGCTGGTTAAGGAGCCAGGCAACATAGCATCCCGCATATTATTATTCCCTTTCGTCCACATAGCACCTAGCCTTGCGATTATCTACATTTTGTAGAGGTTCAGTGGTTAAAGGACTTGCCAGACTCACAAGGAGTAGCCAAGGCCCAGTGACTCTCTTCTGCTGCACCATACCCCTCACAGAGCAGCTGTAGTCATCTCCTTTAGGTGGGCAGGTGGGAAGGAAGACTAGCAGAAAGGAAATGTGACACTTCCCCAAGATGCCTGTATGTGAGGATTAATGTGTGTGTGCAAGAGCCACCTGCTTTGCGTAGATATGTGAGGATATAATTCATAAACTCAAGTCCTTCGCCTGCCTGTGTATCTTTGACTGTAAAGCACCAAGATTTGGCTTTACAGGTTGCTTATCGATCTTCTTTCATCATTTAAAAGTTCCAGTAAGTGTTTCGTGTACATCTAAGTATATTTCCAGAGCTCAAAGGGAAGGGGGAACACTGAAACTGACACTTTACTCTCTCAATCCCAGTAACTAGAATTCTTCATGCTACCTCTACTCCAACCTACAACCTCTTCTGGTGGCAGAAGTTAAGTATTGAGGGAGAGAGGCAAGAGGATAAAAATGCTTAGGATAAAGGAGGGAAAAGAAGTGGGGAGACAGGAAAACTCCAGGGTCTTTGGTATTTGGGGAAAAGGGGTGGGAAAGAGCTCCCATGCACCCTGGTGTCTTCTCCCCCAGCCTGCCTCAGTTTTGAATATCCCTGCCTGTAGATGTTCATGTCAGCTCGTGCCCAAAGCACCTCTGCACAGCTGACAGCAAATATTATCACTAAGGTCAGATGCATCTGATGAAGAACAGGGCAGCCAGTTCTCCGTGAGCTTGCATCATTTGTTTGCACATTACTGTTTTCTGCCATCATTTCTTCTTTCTTCATGTGCTTGACTCTCACAAGTTGAATATTTTTTTGTAATGTCATGAGCCATTCTGCTAAATGGCATTCAGTCTCATTATTTTCAGTCTTAAAGTATTCTCCTTTGTGACATTGCTTTAAAACTAGATTCTAATTCTCCATCTTGCTTTGGCTGCATCCTATCAAATGGAAATTCTTGTTGCAGAATCAGACACCAGTTAATTGGCAGGTATGTTATCCATAGAGGTTGACCTTTGTCCTTAAGAGAAACTTGAAATTGATTTGTGGACCTGTGTCTTTTCAAGGTGAATGGGTCTGCAACTGAGAAAGATAACAGTGAGAATGTGTGAGTGTACGTGCCTTATAGGGAGTTGAGATGTAAGACTGCTACCTCCTCAATTCCCTTTTCTCTTGGAACTTGTGAAAAAGCCATAAAATGGACCTTGTAAGGTTAAGAGACAGAACTCTGGAATCATAAGTTTCCATTTGATGGGCAAGTTACTTAACCTCTACAACCTCAGTTTCCCCCTTTGTAAAGTGGGGATAACTATAATACCACAAGGAGGTTATAAGGATTATATAAAATAACACATGAAAGGTATTCCTAGTAATCATTCAATAAAATGGAGCTGTTATTTTGATTATCACTTGATTGGATTATTTGTAAGGCTACATCTAAATAGTGAACTCTAGTCTACTATAGTACACTAATTTGTAATAAACAGATCACTAGGTATATATAAAGCAGTTAGTAATATTGTCATTATGATCACATTACTATAATTACCTGAAGAGATATATTTTGAAACTTTTCCTTTTCAGCAGATGCATCCTGCATGTGTTTGTGTGTGTATGTGTGAGTAGAGATTTTTAGTTCACATCTCTTATCTGTATTCATCTTCCAGCTCAAGGTATGAAGATGGGGATAGCTTACCCTGCTACTTTCACCACCCTCTCCTCCAGCGCTAGGGACAGTTGTATAAAACAGAGAACCTCTTACTCAATCCACCTGCCAACCTAGAGATGGGACGGGTTCCTTCTTCCCTATGGCTTCAAATGAGAAAAGAGTGGCAATGCCCTTCCCTCTGCTTCTTCTTTCCTTCCCCACCCCCAGAAATCTTACCCCTTTCAGATGGCAGGAGGCATGGGAGGTGCTTGCCTCCCTCCCTTCCACTTTTGTCCATCATGACCATCTCCCTGGTCTCCTTCCCATCACCTACTGTCTGGTTAGCAAGGCAGTCTTCACAGGCCACTCATTCTTTACCCCTTTGAAGAAGCTCTACCAAATCTTCCCACATCGTGCAGTGAAGATCCATCACACCCCGCAGAACAGAGGGTTGGGGGGCTGGGGATGAGATTTGTCTTGATCTGCATTTTTGTTTTGTTTTGTTTTTTGTTTTTTTAGGAAGAACAGGTTGATGCTTCTGTGTCATTCTGCTGCCTGCAGCTCTCTGCTGCCTTTCTGTCATTTTATGGTTCTTTCTATGATTAGGAAAGAGGCAGGGTTTATAGAACACTGGATTCATTCCAGAGACCCAACTTGGCAGTCTTCCCTTTGGCAAACCCACCATCCATCTCTCAGAAATCCTAGAGCTTGGTGTATTAACTTGAGAGTGATTAAGAGTCTTTCCTAAGAAGCAACAGGGGAGTAAACATTAGCCATGTCAGCTTTTTTCCCCATTCTGGTTTGGAAGACCAAGATAGTCTGCTGAAGGCATATGAGCTCCTTCCACCCACAACTAGGTAGTCCCAAGCAGTTAAGCTGATGGGTCATCCTTGTGCCTGGATGGGTGTTGCAGAAAAGCATTTCCAGCCAAGCACTGTGAAACATGGTTGTAATCCAAGCGATTTGGGAGGTGGAGGCAGGAGGATCACAAGTTCAAGGCCAACCTAGGCAACTTAGCAAGACCCTGTCTCAAACTTAAAAAGAGCTAGGGATGTAGTTCAGTGGCAGAGTACCCTGGGTTCAATCCCCAGGACCAGGGGGAAAAAAGAAAAGAAAGAAAAGCAATTCCACAAAAAGGGTGTCTGTGTATGATAGAGGGACTTCAAGAGGAAAAAAAGAACTAGAAACAGCCAACCCCTAACTCTGCCCTTCCTATCTCTATAAGTCCTCAGCTTGGTCCAGGTGAAAAAGTAACAAGGAGTAGATAGATTCAATGGGTAGTTTCAATAGGACATTTCAGGAGGCAGACACAGCTTGAGCAGAGGCACAGAAAAAAGGGAGGCAATTGGAGGTGAGGGCATATTATACGAAGAATTATAAACTTGATTCTGATGGTAGCTGGGGAGACAGAACCCATGATTGTTAAGCAGAGACATGACCAAATGAGAGCTGGGTATTCTGAAGGTGTGTTTGGCAGAGATACAGACATGCAGGGATTGCCAAGTCTTGGAGCCTCAGCTTCTAGGGTGTGGCCACAATATCTGAAAGGGTGGTAGCACTAAGGCAAGGCAGAAGAGGAAGGATGCAAATGGCATTACAGAGAAATCAACAACAGAAGTTAGTGACAGATTGTACAGAAGGAGTGGAAGGAGAGTGGAAGGAGATGGTGGCATGTTGAGTTGGGGTGAGGGCAGAACAGCTGAGTGGAGATGTTCTGCAGGCAGAGATATGTAGAAGACAGACTCTGCCACCCTATACATGCTCACTAGCACTGGGTACCTCTTTTTCCTGTAGACACTTGGCAGTAATGTTTTGGTTAAAGGGTCTTTTCCTGTTTAGACAGCAGACTCCGCAGGTACCTTCGTTTGGAGGGATTGTGAGGTTTAGGGATTTTCGATTCCCATGGTTGGGTTCCTGATAGAGGTCATTGAGTAATCTTTGTTGACAGATTGATGATGGATAGATTGGCCAACTAAGGGCAGGGACTGCATGGGGATGATGTACCATTGGCTGTTAGTCATATTCCCATTTCTTATTCCTGTTTTTGAAATTTGCAAGATTTCAGACTTATCCACACAAGGAGCTGTAGCTGCTTTGAGAGTCAAGACCATGACTTGTACTTCTTCATGTTCCCAAGATGTTACTG